GCACTTAGCTGACCATATCTATTTATAGATCTTTCCAGCTACAATACAAACAAACTACTGAGCCACAAATAGTCATGTAACTGTATAATTAGGTATTCAATCACTTTGTTTTCGACTCAGTGGAAGTTTATTTGCTCTAGTCCAACATACAATGAATCCAACAACAAGCAGGTATCATCATTACTTTATCAACAATGTCATTCATTCAAAGGCTGTAGGAAAAATAGAGAGGAAAATACAATAGCGTATGCCATGTTGTTGATGTGTGATGACATCCACAATAATGATTATGATGAATCTATTGCAGCTTTATTGAGTGCTAATCTATGGTGGATTACTAAGAAAATAACAGCCCTCATATATATTTTTCAATCACACTTTCCTTCTTCTCCAAGCTCTTTCCCACACCATCCCAAGTTGCCTAGTCAGAAGCACTTTCAGACATCCGCCCAATATAAATGGTGAAAATTAAATATAAATTTGGTTGTAATCAAAAATTTTGAGTTCATGCTGTTTCTTATGAAGGAGTCCTGTAGCTCAGTAGTTAGAGCACTCGCCTCGCAGGTGGGAGGCCTGGGTTCAATGTCCAGCAGAGTGAAACCTTGGGAAGTTTCCTTACTCTACACCCCTGATAATAATCCCTCAAGAAAAAAAACAATAATAAAATTGGTCACTTCAAACCAAGACTGTTTGTGGGACACTGCTGTGTGCAATTGGCTGCTGGGTTTCACCCACAAATATACAGTCAATTCACTTCACAGTATATTCTGTGAAGCGCTTTGAGACGTCGAGAAGACTTGAAAAGCACTATATCAAATGCAAGGATTATTATTGTATTAATATAATTACTACAAAGTAGTGTTGACTTGATTTATGATGATATTGAACTGCAAAAATATAACATTCACCTGTTAAGGATAATACTGGGATCTCACATGTAGCAATTTTGAACGTGATCTCTCGATAAGAAAAACAAGTGGGAATTCCTTCTGGAAAATGGAAGTAAAGAGACTTCAATGACTCCAGTCCAAATGTAGCATTCCAAATGCTTTCCCTGATATCAGTGAACGTTCTATATGTTCACTATTACTGAGGCAAGGGGGAATTCAATTTCACAGCACTCAAAGCTGGTTTCACCTACCATTCAAATTGGATTTAAAATCTAAAGTTCACAAACCAAAAGCACACTTCAGGTTTCTAAAGTTCATAATCGTTTAAGAGTATAAATACAGAATTTATAAATCCATCACGTTTAAACTAGTGTTAAAGTTGTGTCATTGGATATTAATTTAATATCACACTAAATGTGTGGCTTTCTGTGTTTACTCAGAGTGCTGTATTTTCTGACTCAACCCAACACGACTCAGCTCTGAATATGGAGCAAACTGGCTGACTCCATTTTATACTTAAATGTTACTTGAAGCAAACTGTCCATATAATTGCAAGCACCAGTTTATGTTGGCTTTCGTATTATTTTAATTTTCTCCTTTTTTAAAAAAAGCACCTTACAGAACATGCCTCATTCACAACTTGAGACCCATCAAACTGCACATGTCATTGTCTAAAAGTCATGTAATCTTTCGCAAACAATTCCAATGAACATATCTTATTGTGTGATACAGCCACTTCTGCATTTGGAAAAGAGATACACCAATCGACAAACAACGGGGTTTTTATTTACTGCTAAGTGTGTTTACAGAGATGTGTTATAACAGCTAATTCTAAATGATCGTGGTTAGCAAAAAAAAAGTATCAGTTCAAGAATGCATCCTTATCTTCAGACTTCAGAAAATAATTATCTGGATATCTGTGCTAAAGTCTAGCACATTTCTATGTCTGGACATCTTGCGTTTTCATGCTGTACTTTCCAAGACTGCAATTCTTACATGGTTCTAATGCCATCTAGTGAGAATCGTATAAAAGTACAGTTCAATGGGGATGCAAAATAAATACTGAATGAAATGAATGTAAGAAATACACAACCTTTGATTTTAACATTCATTTTTTAACCAAACTTTTAAAGAGCTTATTAGGTTTAAGGCTACGGAAATATGGTTAAAGAATAACTTGAAAATCATTAACATGAGATAAAGTAATGATTAAAAGATTTGTAATTCCACCTGGTTGTTACAAAATATTAAAAATGAAATACTGCAATTAAATTCTATCCTGAGTTGGAGCACTTGATATCACCACTGAAAACACTACCTTCAGAATGAAATATTGCCAAATTTGAATGCCACATCCAAGTGAGTAATGTGCTATGCGGCTGTGCTCCTCAATAAGCCACCGGAACATTTGGTGCACAGGAATCCTGAATTGATACTGAAACCATCTACTTAAGTGAACCTGGATTGAAGTACAGGTATATCCAGTTAGTAAAAATATGGCTGTGCTAAAGTCTAGGAGTTTTCTGAAAATCCAAATACCCGATTCCCTAACTTTTTTTTAAATAAACAAGTTTCAATGGCATATTAAATGAAGAGTAACACTTTATGCATAATGTTTAATTTTTATTGAACCATTCCTCATCATATATTTATGAAACTAATTCTTAAAAATAGAGAAACGTAGCTTTGTATTGAAATAATCTTTAACAATTCTTCTAGTCAGTGAAAATTGCTGACCTTACTAGGATTTAATATTTATAGATCCAAGTTTTACTATAACAATCAAACAAATTTCTATAAGTTCACATTTCAAATACAAGACAGCAAATATTAACCGTTCAAACCATTAGGGGTAAGGGTACTGCATCACATTTTTTAAAGTCACATCACTTTTAGATTCCACATACAAATGATTGCGTCAAAGATAAATCAGCCATTGTGACGCAGAAAGTAGATAACGTAATTCTGGGCTGCATTTTTCATTTGGTGACATTGTCTCTAATTGTTGATGACAGCAATAAATAAGATGTACAGAAAGGAATACTATTCCCCTTTGCATCACAAGTCCTGTGTTACAGGGTGCTACTGTTGGGACCAGCAACAATACTGATCCAATACCTTTATTTTCCTCTTTCTAGTTGATGCCTATCCTGCCATGACAGGATCTGCAGTCTGGCCTTCAAATAGACATGATTCAATCAATGCGAGAAAGAAAATGTTAAGGTGAGAAAAATAAAAATGATGTACTCCCTTCTGTTTACCTCAACAATGTCCAAGACATAAATCAACAACACTAATTCAATGTGTAGCCACCTTTCAATACTTTCTAAAACATTCACAAGAACCCCTTCCACAATAGTTACATTTTAAAATAAACATAGGTATGTAATTTTAAAATATTTACCATCTTTTTGCTGAGAACTCAAAAGCAATATTAAACAAACCTGGCATACAAATTGTAAAAATAATAATAATCCTTGCATTTAATATAGTGCCTTACCACGTCTTCGAGACATCTCAAAGCACTTCACAAAATACACTGTAAAGTGAATTGACTGTATATTTTGCGGGCAAAACCCAGCTGCCAACTCCTCAACCTCCCTGGGCTCTCCCTCACAATCACCGAACCAGTGCGCGATGTAGGCGTTTGGTTCGCCCCCAGCTGTCCTTCCTCCCCCACATCCGGTCCCTGAGCAGGACCGCCTTCTTTCACCTCTACCACATTGCCCACCTCCGACCGTACCTTACCCCAAATGCAGCCGACACCCTTGTACATGCGTTTGTCACCTCCTACCTGGATTACTCAAACGCAGTCCTCGCCGGTTTCCCCAATTCCACTATTAAAAAGATCCAGCTCATTCATAACTCTGCCGCCCGCATACTTACCCAGACCAAACTCCGTAGCCTCATCTCACCAGTTCTGGCCCGTTTCCACTGGCTCTTCCATCACCCAACGGATCGACTTCAAGATCCTCAATCATGTTCAAATCCCTTCACTCTCTGGCACCTCCCTATCTCTCTGCTCATCCCTCGCACACTCTGCCCCAACATCGGAGGTCGCGCTTTCAGCCACTATGCCCTGAACCTCTGGAACACTCTCTCAATCGCTCCACCTTGCCCCCTCTCTCTCCTTTTCCAAGTCGGCCTAAAATTGTTCCTCTTCGACCGTACTTACGGCCACCATCCCCCGATCGGAGTCATGCTCCGCCACTGTTAAGCGCTCTGAGAAGTTACCTTGTGTGGAAGGCGCTACATAAGCGCAATTTTTGTTGTTGTTGTTAGGAAGCTTGCCCAATGTTTCACCCTGGGAATCAAATCCAGGTCCTCTCGCTTGCGAGGCGAGTGCCCTAAATGCTAAGGTACAGGACTCCAAGTACTGAATTTTTTTAAAAAACTTTTCCACCAATGGCATTAAACATTTTAGTAAAAAGATTTAACTGAGAACAATAACCTCCTCCCCTCCTCCTTGAGAAAAACTAATAAAACTTCACTAAACTCATGTGAAAACTTACAAAGCATGTCAGTAAGCTATTTGAACACTGGGGAAGGCATGCATCACATGTGTTATTCTATTGTCACAGAAGTCCACAAATTGAAGGATCACTGAAAATGAGATTAAGGATGTTTAACAACAGTGTACCACGTTCCAATGGGAGCCACATGATCTTTCATTGGGAATGCTGTAATGATTGTTGCAATTCTTGATTTCATATTAGGAGATTTATTCAAAGTAACGAGAAGCTAACTTTCAAAGCACTTCAAGAGTTAAATGTTAGGATTCATTACACAATATGTAAATACAGATGAAACATGTGCTATGAGTAAAGGAAATTAAAAATTCTCCAATTTATGTAATTAACCAACGAAAAGGATTTATTTTACTTACCATCCCGCTCCCTCTGCTTGGCAGGCATTGGTCTGTTCCATGTCCCCCACCCTGTCCACCCCACCATCAGCGGTCAGGCCTTCAGCTTTTCTGTCTGGAACTCTGTCCTGGATTCCCTTTGCCTTGCCCCCTCCCCTGCTTCCTTCCAAGATCTGTCTCAAGATCTTTCTCTTTGACTGTGTCTCCAGTCATTCTCCCACCCCCCCTTGGCTTCCACCCCTCTTGATTCAAACCCTCCAGCTCAGGTGCAAACCCTTGACTGTCCAGTGCCTTCGGACATCATCCGACGATTACTGATTACACAATTAATAAATCCTTTTCATTGGTTATAGCAGAATTTAAGGATACAACAACAACACCTGCATTTAACACATGGCTTACAAACAGCACAATAAAGGCAATGCTAATCCTTATAGCAAATTGAGAGTAATCATTTAACCCAAATGCAAAATGCTACCGGTTTGCCCACAATTTTTATTCCCATCTTTGGTCTAGGATTGATCAAAACTGCCTGCTTTTTTCAAAAAAATAGAAGAACACTGTGTTTGGGGAAAGGGGCGGGAAGAAGTAAATCTACAGCACGTTCAAAACTGCGAAACTGATTTACACAATTCGTGTTATTTTCACAAGACTAAACAAATTCCTGGTGAAAAAGTAAAAAGTCAGATCCATTTAATGTCTACTCCTGTCCACAATGTTTTGTGGAGGCCGATGGACTTGCACCACTGACATTCTTCTGCAATCGGCTCTGCTTGTGAGCCATCTCAGGGACAGCAAAAGATTCCAATTTCTTTCTACCATTTTCCATGTAGGAATTGTTGCACCCACAGCATATGCAATCTTGACAAGCCTTACGATTTGCATAACAGGGACAGCGCTGCCCTCGGCATGTAAGAACGCTAGTGGTGCATGGTGCACGACCACATTTACACCCTGTTTTTCCTTTTGGCTTTTTGCACACAGATTTCACTGAGCTAACACACTCTTGAAAACCTCGTAACTTTTTAATCTTTCTGTATTTAGCATTGTATGTGCTTACCATATTCTTTAGTCTTTCAGTGACACTGCTATGTTTATTATCAGTAGTTTTTTTTAGTACTGAGGTACACAAACGTTCATCAGATGACTTTTTGTGTAACAAAGGAAGCCCCTCAGTGGTCGGCTGAATAATGTTTTGATGCTCAGTCGCTTCCACACCACAGGCATCTTTACTTGTCTGTGGCAAACATCTTTTCAAGATCTTTCTCTTAGTAACACTTCTAAAAGTTTTCTTCCCAATTTTAACACTTCTTTCAGCAATGTCAACTGGTTGATTTGAGGTGACAGATCTTTGTGCGGTCTGCACTTGAACCACCTGCAGCGGAGTCAATCTGCGTATTATTTTCATAGCTTTCTCCGTGCAGCACGGTACCCGGGACTTGTCTTCATCTTGCACCAACGTTATGCCTTCTTCCAGCAAAATATTCAAACTAAACGGAAACATGTTTTCCTCTGCCACGTTCCCCACGACGTCGCAGCCCGATATAAACTCGCAAAGCTTTTTGTAACACGCCAGGAGAACACGAAGCTGCTCGTTTTCCACGAACGCCCCGTAGTCTTTGCACCAACTGCACGCCGGCTTCATCTGCATCTTCTGCCCTGCGCACCTTCGGCACACAAAGTGTTGGCACACCGACCTTCCCGGGCCAACCGGATCTTTCAGGAGACTCCCTAAAATTAACGGAACAAGTTCGGGAGGGACCTTACGCTCGCCTCTGCGGACCCGCTGACTCCCTCCCGCCACCCCCACCCTTATCAACCCGCCCCCCCCCACCCACCTCCGCTGAGCGGAGGGAGCGGGCAGGTTGATAAGGGGATCAATCAGCAGGTCGGCCCCTCTTACCCCCCAACTACCCCCCTCCACCCCACGGCTGGCCCCGCCCCTGACATCAGCGGCCACGCCTTCAGCCGCCTCTGACCCCGCCCTTCGGCACTCCATCCCATTGCCAAACCCCACCCCACCCCTCATGCCCTCCATTCCCCCCCCCACCCTCCAGCTCCCCCACCCCTCAGCCCTCAACAACAACTCCGGGTCCAAACCCCTGTCCGGTTCAGCGCCTCGGGACGTCCTCCCCCCCCCCCCCCCCGCGACGCGCAAACAACAACAACAACAAGATTCCATTTATAAAGCGCCTTTCACGTCAGGAGGACGTCCCAAGGCGCTGCACAGTTGGGTCAGGACCCGAGCAGGGGGGAAATGGTCAGGGTGAGGGGAGGGATGGGAGCGAGGAGGGGGGAAATGGTCAAGGTGAGGGGAGGGAAGGGAGGGAGCGAGGAGGGGGAAGGGAGTCGAGAGGGGAGCTGAAGGCACGGTCAAAGAGAAAGGTTTTGAGACCGGCCTTGAAGGAGGAAAGGGAGGAAGCGGCGAAGGCACACGGGGATGGAGTTCCAGAGCCTCGGGGCTGAGAGGCTGAAGGCCCGACCACCGATGGTAGGGCGGTTGGGGCGGGGGACGTGGAGCAGACCGGAGCCAGAGGAACGGAGGGTACGTGCAGGTAGGTAGGGGGATAGTAGGTTGGAGAGGTAGGAGGGAGCGAGGCCGTGAATGGCCTTGTAGGTGAGGATGAGGATCTTGAACTCGATCCTCTGGGGGATGGGGAGCCAGTGGAGGCGAGCGAGGGTGAGGGTGGGAGTGATGTGGTCGCGGTGTCTGGTGCGGGACAGTCCACGAGCTGCAGAGTTCTGAATGACCTGCAGTGTGGAGGGAGGTGGCGGGAAGGCCGGCGAGGAGAGAGTTCCCATAGTCGCTTCTTGGAACACACGTGCTGAAATGGTATCATTACCACAGACGGCGCAGGAGAGCGACTGGCGCAGGTACGGCAGCAGCGTGCGCAGGTCGGCCTCGTAACCCCGGCGCGACGCCATCTCCTCATCCCGCTCCTCCTCACGACGGCGGCGGCGGCGTCGACGGTCGTCGTCTTCCCGCGTCGTCTCCTCCTCCTCTTTCTCACCACCACCACCGCCATCATCATCATCATCATCCCGCCGCACGGGCACCTGCTGCTGCTCCTCCTCCTGCCTCTCGCCCTCGTCGCGACCCGACATCAGCACGGCGCAGCGGCAGGCGGAGACGTAGAGCTCGGTGGCGTTCACGGCCATCGCCATGGCCGGGCCGCGTGTCGGGGAGCGGTTGGTTGGCGGTTGGGCGCGAGGTTGGTTTGAAAGAGGGGTCACGTGGCGTCCGCCCGCCCGCCCCCACGCGCCACCCCCCCCCCCCCCCCCGCCGGCGGATCCGCAGCCTCAACCAATAGGAAAGGGAGCGATGTCGCTCGTGCCTCGCCACGCCACGCCATTGGTCAGCTCGGCCGTCGATCACACGGCGTTTTCATTGTCGGTTTAACCGCCCCCGCCCGCGCGCGCGCGTTTGTTTTTTGCGATTTTTTTTTATGAAAAAAAATGTTTCGGTCGGGAGGGTGTTTTTTTTTAATAAAAAAGACACACACAACACACACACACACATATACATATATATATATATTTACATATAAAATAGTTATATATATATATATACACAAATAGCGTTTAATAATACAATAGTAATCCTGGCGTTTGGTATCACCTCTCCCGGACGTCTCAAAGCGCTTCGCAGAATATACCGCAAAGTGCGGTGACTGTATATTTGTGGGGGAAACGCGGCGGCCAATGGCGCCCGGTGGCGGCGGCCAATGGCGCCCGGTGGCGGCGGCGACGGAGACGGCCCCACGAACAAGTCTTGGACTGAAGCGTCCAAATTATTATTGTGTTGTTTTTGGGGTGTGTGTGGGTTTTTTTTCCCCCCCCCTTTGAGGGATTATTTATCGGGCGCTCCTCGAGGAGCGAGGAAACCCGCCCCCGGGGGGGGGGGGGTTTCGCCCCGACCTGACCGGCCGGGCGTCGTAACCCGGGGTCCTCCCGCTCGGCCGGGCATAGCCCTCGGACCCCCTGAGCCGCAGGACCGGCACAGTTTTGTGCCGCCCGTACGAGGGCAAGCATTCAGCCGAATCGAGCCCTTCCGGAAGGCGTCTCGTTGGGTTGACGATGAAAACGCAGAACTCCAAACCTGTCCGAAACTTGGCTGTGATGTATAAAGAACTCGCTGTGTGCCCATATTGCGGCGACGCTCGCAACCCAAGGGGTCCAATTGCGGAATGTAGGTCTTAGCGATACCACTCGCACACCATTCAACGTTGCCGTCAACACTGCGTGTGCGCCTCAAGCAAAACTCCCGTACACGTGCGATGAGCGTGTTTAGGTCGTAGCTCAACGACAATAGATTCCCCCCCCCAAAAAAATGCCCATAACATGACATTCCCCCCATTAAAGACCTTTCCGATGAGGTATAAATCATCGCTATGTCGATCGGTTATTGCATTATTGGTGGACAGATACACAAACAGACATTTTCTCTTTATTAGTATTGATTATTATATAAAATGATATACAAAAGGGGAGGGAGAGCGGGAGAGGCTGAACCACAGCCTCAGGTGAGGCCTCAACTCGAATGCCAGGCTTCACCCACCCCGACTAGTTGCTGCGAGGCTGTGGTGTGTTGGAACTCGGAAACCCCGTGGCCTTACTGAGCCAAGTGTCACCCACCACCGGCCCAACTCTGACATGGCCCTGCCCAGGAGCACCAGAAAAAAGCAGCCAAACCGCTGCCGTCAACGTCGCCCGAGGCAACTTGCAGCTCACCGCCACCATCTTGTTCCTCCCGCTGCTGGGCTTCGTCTTGAGTGCGTGCTGCGTGCATGTCGGCGCGGCCCCCAGGTGCAATTACAGGGTACATGTAACTGCCAAGCATGTAATGAGCTCGTTTAGGTCACAGCTCACCAACGACAGGAGATCCCCGAAAAAAAATATGCCCAAGACACTCCTCAAGCAAGACCTTTGATGAGGGATAAATCATGTCTACGTCAATCGGTTATTGACTTCTTAGCGGACACAACAGACATTACGTCTTTATTAGTATAGAAGATATAGGAATGAAGCACAGCACTGGAACCGACCTGAACTCTTAAGCGTTATCCGAACTCACACAAGCGAATTACGAACGCATTCCTGTGTCTAAACCTCAGCTGTTAACAGTGTGGTCTCCTTCATGCTTTTGCAAGTCCGATTGCCATTGAAATTCACGAGACCAGCGAATTGGGAGACTCGCAAAGATCTGGAACGCTAACCGAGAGAGGCTGGTAGAGTAGCCTGGAATAGCCATCAAAATGTTCGGATGGAAGTGTTGTCACAGTTCGTTCTCCGAAACAATACCATTTTGACGCCAGGAACAGTGGGCTAGGTCGAGGTGATCCAGAAGCAGAGCAGGAGCACCAAAGGCAGCCCAAATGCATTTTAAACACAAACATCCTGACCCGGGATATTTGGCCGACGTGACTTGCAGCAGTTAATGATTGTCGGCGTGTGTTGGCACCAGTGTGTTCGAACGCCCTCCTAACCCTACCCTCACTGCCCTCCCCTTTCCCAACCCCCCGCTGAGGTCCAACACTCCCGACGTGAAAGTCTCTTTACAAATGCAATTTGCTGCTGTTGTACCACATGGGGTGGGGCGGTACGGTGGTGGGGGGGGTGGAGGCAGGTTTCATCACAAAATTTTCTAATTTGACAGTACGGTGCTGATCGGATTATTCGCGTGCACATCCGGGCAGAAGGGTGGGGCAGCCAATTACGGATGTAATTTGTTGACGTCGCTTCCCGCCCTTTGCGCTCGTGCGTGCCGAGTAAGATGTGACATTAGCAGTCAGAGACCCGAGTTGGAAGGCAGTTGGTTCGTTTATAACGCAGGGGGGACGAGTTTGTTAGCGACAAATGACATTCTGTCCGTCTGCGCCCCAGGGCTCCCTCTGCCTCGTCGTCCTCCTTGACCTCTCTGCTGCTTTCAACACCGTTGACCACTCTATCCTCATCCACCGCCTCTCCTCTCACCTCAACCTCCACGGCGCCGTCCTTGATTGGTTCAGATCGTACCTCTCACACCGCCCGCGCTTCATCTCCTCGTAACGGCTTCTCTTCTTGCCCCCGGACCGTCTCGTGCGGCTTTCCTCAGGGCTCTGTCCTTGGTCCCCTCCTCTTCCATATCTGTATGATCCCTCTTGGTGACATCATCCGCAGACATGGGGTCAACTTCCACATGTATGCGGATGACACCCAACTCTACTTCTCTGCCTCCACCCTGGACTCCAGGACCCACTGCTGTCCTGACATCGTATCTGTCAGACATCAAGTCCTGGATGAGAGCTAACTTTCTTCAGTTGAACGTCAACAAGACCGAGGCTCTCCTGATTAGCTCCTGTCAGCACCTCCTCACCTCAGGTGCTGAAATCATCAGTTGCACACTCCACGTTGCTAAGCCAGTCCGGAACCTTGGGATCTTGTTTGACCCTCAACTAGCCTTTCTACCCCACATCTGCGCCATGACCCTCTCTGCCTTTCCCCACCTTTGCAACGTTGCCCGGCTCCAACACTGTCTCACACCGCAAGCCGCCAAAGCCCTGATACATGCCTTCATTACATCGAGGCTCGACTATGCAAACTCACTGCTGGTCGGCCTCCCCAACTCCTCCCTCCACAGGCTGCAGACCATCCAGAACTCTGCAGCTTGTGTCCTCTCCCGCACCGGGCTCCGCAACCCTATCACCCGTATCCTCGCCCAACTCCACTGGCTTCCCATCAGGCAAGAGGATACAGTTCAAGATCATGGTCACCTTCAAAGCCCTCCACGGTCTTGCTCCCCTCTACCTCTCCAACCTCCTAATCCCCTACCATCTTGTTCACTCCCTCTGCTCAGTGGGCTCCAGCCTGCTTCACGTCCACCTTGCTCACCCCACTATTTGTGGGCGGGCCTTCTGGCACTCTGCCCCCACCCTCTGGAACTCCATCCCAGTCCCCCCATCTCGCCCCCTCCCTCGCCACCTTCAAAACCCTCCTCTTCGACCGTGCATTCGATCTCCCTGCTCCCCCCCCCTACCCTCCACCCACCCCGACCCCCAGCTCACATTTGTAACTCTGTCCAGCTCCCTGGGACGTCCTCCTGACGTGAAAGGCGCTATACAAATGTAATTTTGTTGTTATGGACGCAGACTGACCTCCTGGTTACAATAGTGCTGCTCTGCATTTAACCCTCATAGTGGTAAGATTTGGAAAGCAGAAAATGTCTATTCTCAGTTTTTAAGGTAATTGATATGCCACCATTCACGAGATGAGAGATCACCAAGGAACACAAACCCTCTAAGCTCCTAGAATTTACCTTATTTCACATCCATTTTGATCTGATGGGTCTTTCCTCCTCCATTGTATTGAAGAGTGGCCTTGTCCTAGGTGTCAAGACAAAACCCTCAGTCCTTTGACTGGAGAAAGCAGCAAAGGCTTCAGATGACAAATGAAAGAATGCAGCACACAACACATGGAATCAATAACATTCGACAGAGGTGAAGTGGGGTGCAGAAGAAAACCAAATTAGCGATTTAAACCAAAACATTTGTGAAATTTATTTCAACTTTTGTAAAACGTTTGCAGAACTAAGAACTGTACACAAACCTTCCCCAACCACTCAATATTTTAGATCATAAACACCATGTCTTAAGCTTTCCCCCGACAATGTTTTTGCTATATGTGTGAACAATTAAGATGGTTCAAAGATTCATTTCAGAATGAAACCGGTTTCACAGCAAATAAAGTTCTATTCAAGATGTTAATTTCGTAAAGGGAAGGGATAAGTGTCCTTAGACAATGTTCCCACCTTCCCCCATGATCACAGTTGAAAAAATAATGATGAGTGTATATAGATTTTGTTCCAATCATTGGGAAAACTTAAGCTAATCAGTTTTGTTCAGGTGGTTGCGAGCAAATTTCACCTCATTGAGCTCATTATACACGCTGACGCCCCAATACAGAACAGAGGAAGTCCTGCATTGTTGCAGATGATGTCCTTTGGATGAGACGTTAAACCAAGATCATTCGATGGTTCAGTAAAGTTGCCATAGCACTATTTGGAATATAATTCAATTTCAGACCGACCAAGAAATAAATTCCAGACTCAGAGGTCTAGCTGTTACAGGAACAAAGCGAGTTTTCCTCTCCTAACCACAAAAAAGAATTTAAACGTCGGTAGGCATATGCATCCTGTTACACCACTGTACAATGAACACCATTTTAGATTTAAATTTTATTCAAAAAGTTACTGTTTCATGACATAAATACAAATCAGAACAGTACAATGAACAACAAAATATGAAGGACAACAGGAGAAGGTAAATATAAAACATTTCAGTTGGTTGAAAACATACAGCTTAAAGAACTGCCTTCACAATGAACGCACTTTTTTTTAAAAAGTAGAAAAGTCTGCTTTCACTTATTTTTAAAATCATATATACAGTCCTCTTAGCAGTTCTTTTTAACGCAGTGGTGTAAGGAACACGAAAGGCAGTACTGCCAAACAAACATTGTTTTTAAGTGTGTAAAAGCAAACAATTCCTCAAAAGACAACCAAATATTCATGGCATATCTCATGAATTATTAATATTAATAAACTGAAAGCAATAGCCAAATATTATGTTTTTCGCTTGGCTATTAAAAGCCCAATATCTCAGCATTGAAGTAGCAAACTGAATTCATCCCATTGAAATGAACCAAAGATTTATGCAGGAGATGGGGGTGGGGGAAGTTTGTGTACTGCAAGCGGATTAAGGCATGGAATGATTTAAAAAANCGTAATAAGATGAAAGATGACTAGCAAGAAATGTCATGAATTTTTTTATTATTATAAGTTAATGTCAACTTAGAGTTGATAAAACATCCAACTGCCAGAGCACTGCAAACAATGTTGAAAAGCGGTCTATGAATTATTAGAAACTTTTAGTTTATAATTATGACAGAACATTTACCATAAAAATGAAAACATAAAACCCAAATTTAAGGAATAACATAAATGGGTAATTTTTCAATGGCTAGTATCTTCAAACTAATTTACATTAGAACAAGATGTACTATGACCAGTTGTAGTTTATTTAACCTGAAGATTGCTTGCAAAGACAGATGTAAATAAAATATAAAATACAAATTTAAAAATTACTTAAGCATGAATACCCATGCTATTTTAGAAGTTGTTAATTTTTATTATAATTTTTAAACCTCGTCCTTCTGCTTGGAATTTCAAAGTATGAAAAACTGAACAAGATTTGCAATTATAAAATCAGCACCAATCATATATATAATTTTTTTTATTTAAAATTTAGTTCCCTATTCCCAAACTCTATCAAGTCAAATAATTGTTTAGAGAAACTTTCAAACATACTACACCAAGCTCATTTAATTAAAGACACAATACAGTGGCACTACTGGAAGGAATTTAACTTGCTTCCATAATTATACACAGTCTCTTAAAATATCAATTTATCAGGCAACAAACTGCCTCTCAATGCACTTAATCTAGATGAACAGTGAACAAATCCATTAAGCATTCTCCCGAAAGGAGAAAATCTGTACAGTTTTAATAGTTTAACTGCATTCACCAAAATATCTCTTTTTAAAACTGCCCCTGGTTTCATTCATTCATTCACAAAATGACATTTCCTTAGAACATTGAAACCCCAAGGACCTAAAAGGGATAGAAACAATAGCCTTTGTTAGATTAGTGTGCAACAAAAATCATTTTAGACTTCGTAAATGGAGTATTTTGCAAAGTACTTTACAATGCAATAAAGGATTTGAATCTTTGAACTAAAATGTGCTGTATTGATTAAAAAAAGTTATTCATTTAGCCCTTCTCTTCCTTCCACAATACATTTATGATCTGAAAGTGGTTCGCCTGCCCCCTGGCAGAGACTTTATACAACTGAAGCCAAAACTAATCACTCAAAAGAAAATTAAGCGGAGGATCTCTTAACGCCGATATTTGCTGTATTGGTGAAGGTTATATAAATTTGTTAGAATGGCCATTATATTTTTTTNATTAATGTTGACACCTGAAACTATTTAAAAAATACTTTTCATTTTAGTTAAGAGCTCAAATTCATAGCTTTGGCTACGCTACCAGAAGTTGATAACACATGAAGGATTTTTATTCCCCGCAATAAATTAGCATTTATAATTTTGTGGGATTTTTAAAAAAATTTACATTTCTATAAAGTGCGATGACAAAAGTAATCGAAGCAAAAAATAAAATCCTTATGCTGGAGGAGGCATGGTTACAAAAATGACCAAAGAGAAGTATACTTTTCTTCTCCGTGTACTGCATGAAATTGTTTGCATGATTAAAAAAAACGGAATGTTAACCACTATAGTTTCGTAAGAGGGGAGAACAAGATTCCACCCCCAAATGCTAACTCCAGCACATAGGGCGTCCAACGTCTAAGGTAGGTATCGATTTTAGCAATGGTCCTGCTGGTTTTAATCTCCCCCCCCTCCCCACACCCCAAGGGAAAGTATGTAATCTCTACTTGGTTGAATGTCCCCAAGTTTGGCAATCACGAGAGCCTCATCCTACTGACCTTATGCCTCTTTTAAGTGCTCCAGTTCACTGCACCATCACGTCTATATGGCTTTGAAATGAGAGCATCTTTAGTCTAACATTTCTTAGGTTGCTAAAAAGGATCAAGACTCACCGAGTCATCCATTATTGAGGCAGGGTCAAAGAAATCCGGTTTTAATTCGTTCCTTTCCCGTCTGTTCTTGGATGGTGGCTGGAAGGAAACAAACAAATAAAGAAAGAATCAGCATTTAGAATTTTTGCGAGTTGACATTTTCAAGTGAATTTGTCTCATCATTCCTGACATCTTATTACCAGGTCAATGTCGATGGTGTCAAAGTCCATGCCTTCATTCAGATCTTCAATACGACCCTCTGAGGACATCATCACGTCTTCCACTATTGGCTCCTCATCATCCTCCATTAGCCCTGAACCACGCCGACTACAAAAAGGAAATGTTGTGAATTTTCAAAACACCAATACATCATCCATATGGAACTCGGTGCACAAAATATAGTCAATTCACTTTACAGTGTATTCCGTGAAGCGCTTTGGGACGTCTCGATGTGATAAGGTGTTGTATCAAATGCAAGGATTATTATTATAGACTATCTGGCCACAATACGGTTGGAATACTTTTTTAAAAAGTTACAAATTTCGGAAATCTTACAGGAACATTAATTTCTAAGATAAACGTTTTTTGAAATCGATCGTGGACCTACATGGCGTGCTGAAGATTAGATCTTAATTTAACGTAATTCATGGCAGCTCTCTCCTGTTGCCTTGCTTCCTCCTGTTGTCTCTGAGCAATCAACCAGGACATCTGAGGACTGATAGGAGAGAGAGAAAGAATACAGAAAATGAATGGTTTCTTGAAGAATGCATGAAGGCAGTGAAATATATAATCAATCACAACCCAGTACCATATAACTCTAGATTTTCATTATGCAGAAACTATTAGTGGTAGGAGTGCAAAATCCCTCTTACATCCGTCTAGTTTAGACCTATTTTTAACCAGCTTGAAGGACTCTGTCGGGCCATACATTATATAAAGCCTCCGACTATTCCTTGGAAATTGCTAAAATGATTTGCTCTCTGCCTCTCCTATAAGTGTCCTTCAGGAACCAAGGCTAGACAGCAAACTGCACAGAAATTCCATCGAGGTCCAGTAACTGGGGGAAGAGCAGAGGATTGCTTTTCTGCATGTTCATCGTTGCCACGCTCAGGTGTGGAGATGCAGAACAAAGGCCTGGGAATTGAACCCGAGAAAGGGAAGAGAAGGAGGTCATATAGCCATGACACGGTTATACGCTGGTTAAGGGCCACTCTGCCAAAGTAACACTTAACTTTAACAAAGAAAAAAAATTGGGATTTGATGGCCTCATAAAGGAGATGAAATCATTTCTCAGGTTTGCCTCAGAACTTTTTTTCTTCACCCATCGAAACTCAAGTCATTGCCAATCTTAAAAAGCACGTTTGAACATAAAAAAAAAGCAACGCGAGTCTGAAGTGGTGACCTGAAGAAATAATTTTCACAAAACAAGTCGTCACTGCAGGCATTGAGATTAGAAATATAATGATTAGAGATAATAAAACGATGCATACTTGTACTCCACGTGTGACGGGTGATGTTGTGGCGGCATTTGGTACACCCCCATGTAAGATTCTCTTCAGGTCGGAGCCTCTTAGGTTCTCTCATAACAGTGGAGGTCAACTGTGGGGACTGCATCATGAGTGGCGTCTGCAAACTATGCTCTCTGCCAATCCATGATCCATCATTGCTTTCCTCTGCTGTGAAATTTACACAACAACATTTCAGCTTCTAGTTTTCCCCACACAAGTACAAACGTCACTGAGCTAATCCAACAGGTGCTTTTAATGGGGATGATGTGTTTTAAAGAAGACTCTTTCCAGTCTCTTTTTCTTTCTAGTTAGGATTCTTTCCCCATATGCAGCATTTTCTGAATGAGGACCACCTCTCAACTATTAGCCAAAGCCACTCTACAACCACACGCATACAAAACTGATTGGCTGCCCCGAGTAAGGGAAATAATATTCCCTATCTTAAGTGTTGATCCAGGAGCCCCAGACATATTAATTCCTGTCTCCACAAATAAGGCGAGCTGGTTCCCTCCCAAATGTAAGCTGTTAAAGCGTCTTCATGACCAAGGAGTGTAGAAATAGTGGAGGTTAGAAACTCAGCTGATTATCAAACCAAGTTCTAAAACTGTAGATTGCCACGAGTAACTACTTGAATAATTAATTCTTCCCCAAATGCAAGGAATAATTAATCTATTCATCGGAATGTACAAATGTGCATTGTGCTTTCAGTGTACTGTTAGTGATCATGTATTATGTATCATTGATACTTTTTAAAAAGCTAAAGGATCAATGTAAACATATCGTATATTCCAAGCATCAAATATTCCTCAATTTTCCTTCTCCTTTGCTAATGTAGAAGAACTACGGCAACAATATGTTTTTTTTTAAAAAAAGGGATAGATTTAAATATGTTTTGTTTCGAAAGCACTTTTGAGACGTTTCATTCATGTGGAAGGTGCCATCGTTACATAAATGCAAGTTATCATCAAATCAACTGAATTGTGAAGGTTATAAAGTCCAATTAATCTAAACAAAGTTAATGTACACATATCACATTTTCCTTAACAAAATGTAAAACTTTGATTCGAACTCTGAATAGTTCAAATTATTCAACTATAAACTGTAGTGATAGACAGAAACTTACTGGAGTCATAAGACCATGAAAGAGCATTTGGTCCAGTCCACACTGAAATGTAAAAAAACCTGTACTATCCGTCCATTAAACATATGCAAACAGTGCTTTAACACAAAACAGGCTCTTATTACATGATAAAGTGGGAGTTCAAAATGCTGGGGGAGGGAGAGGTTGAAACAAGAGTGCAAACAGCTCACCATTGCAATTTCCTTCATGTTTGAAAAATTTTGTTGTCGGCTCAATACTGTATTTGTATGTACATCTCACTGGTGATCTCCAACCACAAATACATGCACACGCACGCAAATAGATTCCTAGCAGTCGTCCTTCCAAAATAAACTGTGCCAAATGAGATGAAGGGCAGTGGAGGCAAATAGATCTCACCTCTAAAGAGGAGCGTCTTCACTATTGTTATGGTTCGCTGTCGGTTGGAAAATATTCACCAGTGCTTTTTTTAAAACTAACTAAAACATGGGCCACCATCAGTAGAGTATTAAAACGCAGGCCCACACAAACTCCCAACTGCCAGGAGTTCATGCAATTGGCGAACTGAATGTTTTATGAATTAAAAACAAAAGATAATAACAGGGATAATATGAATATGGTGAGACTGGGTAAAACGTAAAGTCTACTAAGTACACAAATGCAATTTGGGGCTAGAAAGCTGGTTCTACATTGCATCTATGTTGCTCTAAATGTATGTATATACAGTTAAGGACGTACATAGGCGATCAGGAAAAAAGTAACACGCACACATTTTCCCTGAACCCTCGTGGTAGTGTTTAAATTGCTGATGTGATAGTTTAGATGCATATTCACACTTATTCCCTGCAGTGAAAATTAAGTGTGGAATGGAGGGGGCAGGGAAAGGAAGGAAAAGTTTTGCACGATTTGAGTGATTTTAACCTAAGCTCTTTAGAATTTTTTTTGCGAAACATCTCCTAACCAATATCTATTTGGATTTCAATTTGCATTTTTGGCACATTTCTTAGAAATGACATTGAGTATAACGAATGTAATCATTTAGCCAGAGATTGCAGAGTTATGGCATTGAGTTTACCTTCTGGCAATTTTCGTTTCCCTGTTGCTGGTTTTGTTTTCTTGCTTCTCACAGAAGAGCCTCTGCTACTATATCCACTGACCACAGACATTGTGTCGTCATCATTCCCAGTCAGTAAGGAGTTTCTATACGATATTAATGGAAGCCACACATCTTCTCTGTGCAATGCCATTTGGTCTCCCATAAACTTCTCAAGGTATGAATAACTGAAATTAAACAAAAGTACTGTTCAAGTGAACCACAGAAATACGTGTTGAAATTATTAATTTTAGACGAAAGCCGGTGGTGACGATTTTAATTCTGACTTGTATTTATATCAAAATATTCTTAATCTACACCACGTACTGCACTTACACTGTCCTTTTGTCTTGTTTGAGTAGCTTAGAAGAAAATTCACTCAGGATATCTAGGAAAGCCAAGTTCATAGGAGGATGCCCTTCTCCATGGGGGCTCGGTTCTTTGAAGGAAAATTCAATGCCGTCTCTACAAAACCCAGAAAATAGCCATTGAATTCTCAAGGTATTATGTTCTTACAATACAGAAATTAGATACAAAAGTCGGCGGGTAAGAAAAGAGGATATTTCTTTTCAAATCAACCCAGTTTCATCTAACCATGATGATTCACATACTAAATTAATAAGATTTGTTTTGCAATTTGCTAATATTTTGAAGAGATTCAGAATGAAAATGGCATTCATCAGACATACTTTCCCCCCTTTTATAGGTAAAGAACCGTTTTGAGTGCATGATTTCTCCCCAAATTACATGTCGTCAAAGAAAAGAAAGCAGAACATTAAAAAAAAAATCCAAGTCTTTACTTGTGTAGCATTGCAACAGCTTCTCTGGTTTTCAGTTGATCCAAACCAAATGTTAGTGAGAAACGTCGAGCAAGTTCTTTTACAGAACTAAAACCTGGGGTTGATCGATCAAAAGTTAATCCAAACTCCTGCTCCAATTCATTAAACAGCTGTGAGAAACAGAGAAAATAAATCGTTCAAATGTGTTTAAAAGTGAAGTGGCTCAATGAGAAAACGGTCAACAACAAAAAATTAACAAAACAGGTCTTATAACTTATTATCACGTATTCGGGAAAATGTGGTGTTGGATGAATCCATTTAAAACAATTAGGGTTTACTTCATACATAAAAAATACAAACTTAATCTGACAAATCCTTGGGAAACATCAAAAACTACCCTCAGAATTAATAATTAAACATTTCTTAAAAACACAGCGAATTTAACACGTCCCCAAATATGTAAAGTGTGCAACTGAAGACAAAAGCATGCAAATGCAGAGCTGCTCAAAACATCTTATATGTGTGCGCCTATGTTTTTACTCTCCATTTGAAAAAATTGAACATTTGATAGAAAGTTTGCTCAATTCATGCGCAATTCATGAGGGAAAAAAAAGGAATTCATCCCACTCTCGTAATAGTTATACTAAAAGAATCCCAGCAGTTGCAATCTTTCACATCTTCACATACATTCTCGATTCCCAACAGAAATTAAAACTTGTCACACCTACTACATTTTACAGGTTGGTACTTGCTTTCCAAAGAATTTCAAAGTCGTACCTGTTGTAAGCTAAGTATGATCGTCTTTGCACACTGAATTTTATCTGCTTGTCTAGTTTTGCTCATGGTTTCCTTGATGATGTCACCATAATCATTGTAATACTGAAAGGCAAAGGCAGGGTCATCACAAATCATTGTCATATTGAAAAGCATGGCGATCGGTTTCACCACACCAAGCAATAATTCACTCATACATTTTAGAAAATGAAATTAAAAATAATCCTTACATTGTGCCGCATTCAAGTCAACCAAGCCAGTCTTTGTATAAAACATGACTAGGCATTATTCTATGCGAAGGGCACAAGAGAATTGAAATTTGTTGCAAAAAAATCTCAAAGTGCTTTGCAAGATTTATTGTAAAGTGTAAGGGATTGTTTTTGAATAGCGCCATTGTCCACCTGAACAGGCAGGAACTCGAATTAACGTCTCATCCGAGAGGTGGCGTTTCTAACAATGCAGGACTCTCCCAACACTGCATCACATAGACCGAGTTCAACATCCTGCTTGTACCCACGATCGCCCGACTCAAAAGCAAAACTGCTACCAAGTGAACCAGGCTGAACATCAGTTCTAAGATGTAAAATGCAGGACATCGTTACTTATGGAAATGTCTAAAGAATTGGTGGAATTCTTGAGAATAAAACACTCAATGGTTGACTTTTCAGGACCTGCACATATTTTAATACTTGAGCTGTGTTGGCGTAGTGGCATTCTAAGAGGGCGGTAAGCCACAAACTGGAAGCCAGGAGACACCTTTTGCTTGGTGCAGATGTTTACTTTTCAAACATGCGCTAAGCAATTCCATAAAGTGATTATAGGAAGGAATGTCCAGAGAGAACACTCCCAAACCCCCTTATACGTGGGTATATTTTACACAATCAAGATCTAGAGGGGATGGAACCAGTAAAATTAGAACTATTTACCTTCATATACTGCTTAAACACATCTGCAGCTGCATTCATCTCTACAACATTATATACAATTAATTTACAAAAGGCTGCGAGAAGGTTCCTCCTTTTATGCAAAGCCTCAATTTTACCAGCTTCATCTTCCTGGTGCCCATCTGAAACACAGACATAAGTTATTTAACAGTGAAGAACCAACAGCAGTCAAGCGGATTTCCACCTCTACAAACTGCAAGATTGTCACTAGATATTGGTTAACTACAGTTGGTGCAGTACCAATCCCGAGATTCTTCCCTGAATTTGCTCAGTATCTTATTTTAAAAGAAGAAACACGTTCTTTCGCAGTTTCTCTTGTACATTTCTCCATTCTGGTTTGCCTTTTTTTAAAAAAAAACCTTACCTGCTTGAAAGGAAGATTACCTACCAGTCGGGTCTATATTCTCGCTACACTGTAGGATTAGGTCCACAAAGATCCAGATTGTTGGGCGATTTACAAAGTGCCATCTTTCTTTATGAAATCCCCATGTCACCACGGGACACCCTAACTACGCTGTGTATAAAACAGCAGTGACCCTCCACTCCTATGACCAATTTGAAAGATAAGAGGCTGAGGGGAAGGGGAAGTGGGAGCTGGATGGAGCGAAGAATAAAGACCCTGCCTACTGGAGGGTAATCTTGATTGCTCTTGCTTCCTCAACACCCTGCACACACACAGGTGCTTTAAGCTCTGGAGGACCTGCAGAAGAACTGAAACTCCAGTAATCAGAACGGTCCAACCGAAAATAGCAGCACTGAACGTAGTTAGATGCAAGCTATAATGTATGGTATATTTAGAATGTCTACGTTGCTGCCTTGCAAATTCCATCATTTTGGAGAGCTATCCAGGATATAGCCGTGGAACTTATAAAGCGGCTTTTAACTGATAAAGAAAGGGTTCTGTGTGCAAGGGCAATAATCAAGGGCATGAAACTGGCCACAGCAGAGTTGGCAAGTCTGGAATTCATCACAATTCTTCACCAATGTCAACAGATGGACGACTGCTTTCCTTACTCGCGAGCATCTAGTGAACTCTGCAAATACAGTAATATACTTAAAACTAAATTTAAACGTATATACTCAAAGCTAAACTTAGAAGCACAGAGCCCGGGAGGAACTAAAGTTACACTGCAGGAAAACAAAATGCCAAGGTATATCAATCCTGCAGAAACCTTTCAAAACAATGTTCACTGATGATTTCAGGAATTGTGCGAGAAATGGCATTTGCAAGGAAGACATTCAAGCAGTCCTCACAATGGCTCAAGTAGGGGTGGTGCAATTGGTTTCAACACCCTAACTAGGGAAGGGCAAAATCCAGTCAAGGTCTTGATTGTTATCGGTGACCTATGGAACTACACCCCCAAAGCACAATAGTCAACTCCTTCCAGACAGAAGAGGAGAACATTGGCAGGGGAAGATATTTGTTTTAATATAAAGGTACTGGTGTGGGACCCACTTATTCTCACCTGCACTGTGGGTGTCCTCATCCTGCTCAACAAATATGTGGTCTAAGACGAAGCTGAGCAGTTCTGACTGAAGAGATGAATCAGGAGTGTAAACCAGAGGTTCCAGTACCTCACGTCCACCTGACACAATCTGGTGGCTAAAAATCATCAGAATATCACACAAGATAGTGAAAGCCTACAAAACAAAACAGAAACAATCACTGAGAGTTACTGGGTCTATCTTCAAAACAAAACAATAAATATATATTATAATTTAAATATTATCACGTTTTAAGGGAGCAATAGTTGGGTGCTAAATTTCAGTGCAAAGTACATCACGGTGTGCATGATTTAAAACAAGTGAATCATCTCTTAAATCTTAAGGGTTGAATTACTATTTGTTATCTTCCCTCCCAATTTTGGCCGGCACATGCACCGATAATTAAACCAGTGACAGGTTAGGAATATATCCTGCAGTATTTTTCTTTCAGTGATGTAGAAATCAGTCCATAAAAAGTCAGTTGGTAATACACCACCACCAACTGCTAGAAAATTATTCTGCTCAGGCACCTTAACATCACCACACAGTCAATGAAAGTAACTGAATTTACAGGGGAAGCCCGTTAAGAACATAAGACTGATTTCCACATTGCAGAATAAAAGAACTGCAGGACGTATTTCTAACCCGTCACCAGTAGGACACAATTTCCGCAAGAGAATCGTTGAGCGAGATGAAGTATTAGAAGCCTTTATTTGCTCAACAAACATCTCAATGGGAGGAAAATATTCCCATTTTTCCCTCCCCAAGTCAATTCACTTTACAGTATAGTCTGTGAAGCACCTTGAGACATCTCGAAGGCACAATAAGGCACTATATCAAATATTATTAAATACAGAAATTACACTTTAAACATATATTGATGTTACCTTCTTTGAACTATGGTTGATAACAGTGATACATGTTAAAACTAGAGGGGAACATTTATTGGAATTCAAAGTCTTTTTGAATTAGTGGCATTTGCAATGGTCTGTCATTGTAGAAAGTTCTACCTCTAATATATTTGGGGGCTGGGCAGTTAAATGACTAACCACCGCATCTATAATATTTCACATCTATAATCTTCAAAGATCAGCACAATCCTGAAAATGCAGAGGTCAATCCGTATTTGAAAGAGAAAGTTGGGTCACGCCAGAAACTTTTCATCAGAGTGGAAACCACTGGAATGGAAAAGACCCTTTTATACAACTGGAAGTGCAAATTACAGTAGAACCTTTGATATACCTTCCTGGTATCAAATTTGACGTACATTAATTTACCAGGATTCTTGTTGAAATCACGGTTCACACTGCAGGCCATGCTGCAATATTACAGGTAGCCTACGGATGATATTAAACTGCCTCGATAGCTATTTTGGTGGGAGCTTATAAAGACATCACCCTCTTCCTCTGAAAAGTAACAAGTTCTCTCAATCTTCTAGCCTTGTTCAAATTCTTCAAAATAAATTTGGCTATTTATCTCATTGCTGTTTGTAGGACTGTTTGCTGCCGGAGATTGACTGCCATCTCTCCTTAGATTAATGAGTCCACGGCAAAAAGTCTCATTGGATTTATCAAAACCATATGTGATTTATTGCTCACACTCCCCCATCGTAATCATTCCAATTCTTATCTTTCTCTTTCGCTTTCAGATACTGACTAAAACGTGTTGCATTTCCAGGATTTTCAGCAGTTTTTTTTCCATCTCTACTACATGGTTTGGATTACCTGTTCCTTAACAGTTGTGTTAATGTTTGTCAAGTAGTGCTGGCAAATCTGACAGAAAGCTCTCATCTGTTTTCTTAACAATATTAGCTGCTCCTAAAACAAACAAAAAGCACATTTATAAATTCCTGATGTAAACAGGTTCATACTTAACCTGCAACACATATCAATATCATATCCTAGGAAGTTTCCAAATGTTATTACATCTATTAAACTCTCAAACGTATGTGCTAGAACAAGTATAAATACAAATGCACACGTCTCCTATAATCACGGGATCCACAATTCCTAGGATGAGGTTGAAGCAAATGAGAAAGACCTATGAATTCATGAATAACGTTTTCTCAGGAAATCTTGACTTTTTTTCAAGTCATTTTAAATGTGATTACATATAAGGACGATGCTTTAATATGCAAATAGGTCCGACAAGTATTGAGGTGAAAATTTGCAAGGGGGGAAATTGTCATTGGCTGTATAGCTGGCCTGCACTATTAGTTTTCATCCAACAAAATAGCTCCTCAGAAATAAAATAGAAAATGCTCGAAATCCAGAAAAGGGCAATCGGGAAATGTTGGTTAATGTTTCTGTGTTCTGATGAAGGTCCTATCCTCAATGCAACCCAAAACACTAATTGGGTGCTGGTTGGCCTGCTATCGAGTTCTCTTTGCTAAATTCCCAGTTTTGTTTTTATCTGCGTTGTTTCAAAGAAAGTTACTCAAATCTTGCAAAGTGATTGCTTGGGAGTTGGAAGCAAAACATAGCAGATTTCAAAGCTAAGAACAGTTAGAAAAAAGTAAAGTAGGTTTCTAAAAAGTTCATACGTTAAAATATAGTGTTGAGGGAAAATGAATGGATGCATTTTAAAATTCTCATTATTTTAGATAATTTAGGGGTTATTATTAATTATATTCGGTTGTTTCCTATCATAGTCCAAGAGGCAAATATGTGGAGTCCTGTAGCTCAGTGGTTAGAGCACTCGCTTTGCAAGTGAGAGACCTGAGTTCAATTCCAGGCAGGGCGAAACCTTGGGCAAGTTTCCTTACTCCACACAGAGCCTAATAATAATCCCTCCAAAAACCAAAAACAATAATTAAAATTGATCATTTTCAATCTACGACTGTTTGTGGGACATTGCTGTGCGCAATTGGCTGCCGCGTTCGCCCACAAATATACAGTCAATTCACTTTACAGTGTCTTCTGTGAAGCGCTTTGGGACGTCCTCCCGACGTGAAAAGCGCTATATCAAATGCAAGGATTATTATTATTATTATTATTATAGCACACAGAGACTGGTGTGTTTGCATAGGTCTGCTAACAGTCCATGGGTACTCTAACACTCCAGCACATTTAAGTTTCATCTTAACAGAAACAAATCTGGGTTAACAGCTGACAAATCAGAGGCATGCGACGGTTAGGGTTTAACAACTATAATTTTACAGAGTAAGCATCTTTATTTTTTGAATTGTTAATGCGTGGGGTGGATTTGCATACCTTTTTTGAGCTGCCTTCAGAAACTGTGGCTAGGTTCCAAAGGATGACATAGTGAGTGCATTGCAGTGCATGAATGACAATCTGCAAAGGAAGCACAAACACACTAGATTTCAAAACAGCACAGCCTTACAATCCCCAAAATAAAATAAACACCCATCGTTTAATAGATTTAAAACTTAAAAAGAAAAGATTTGATCATATTACCATACCTGTTCTGGCATATCTCCATTCTCAATTCCGGTTTTTAGCAACTTATAATTCGTCCCAAACAAGTCCCATTTTGAAAGATCATGTGCACTGCAAAAAAAAAAAAGCATTAGTAAGCTTAATCTGAAACTTAAATCATTTTTGCCTTTTCTGGTAAGACATCTATAATAGCAGATGAACAAACTTCAAGTGTAAGGACGAAAAAGATACAAAACACAACTCCTAAGGATAGCAGCAAGTTGTTGTTCCCAGACACTGGAGAGAGCGCACGTCACAATAACCGCAGGACAGGCTGCAAAGCCAAAACTCATCTGATTCATACCTATCCCCTATCATCAGCAACTAAAATATAATGCTGTCTGTGGAGTTTGCAAAGTATTTTGTTTGAAAACTTAATTTGATGATCACGTGTTCAGGTCATGGACTGGAATGAGAACTGCTCAGACACCTGGACTTGAATTTCTTTTCACGAAAAAATGAATAGCCTTTGGAAGAGCATAGTATTGTGTACTTCTCACTTATCTAGTGCTCATAACATCAGTTTTAGATGATACACTAATTTCCAGACATTCAATTTTGTGACGATGCTGGGAAGATGCTGAGGCTGTATTTTATTTATGGATTAGTGACCAAGCCAGGATGTTTGGTTTCCTAATCAAACAGCTGAGGAACCAAGCTTCATAGCTACATTAAATAGGAGGTGAATTCTATTTTATATACTTCATGGCAACTATATCCTTCAATTTGACTAACACAGCACCTCCACATACCTCCAGTTTGTCACAAGCAACTGGCTGAAGTTAAAAGAATAAAAGCGATTGAGCAGTCCTTACTTGTGGAAGGCAGTGATCCTTTTCAACGTGGAAAGGACCTGGTAAGCATCATCTTCATCAAGTTCTTCACCCTGTTACATTATCAAATTAATCAACAAATTAATATCCGATGATGAATCCATTTGTCAGTTTAACAAAAACATTCACGTAGGTGGAACCAGCCAGCAAAGGGAGTCAAATTTAAAAGGATTCCTAAATTATTTGTAAACAAACCTCTTGCAAGAAGTCTTCAAGCATACAACTGAATTTATCTGCCAATTCATCTATTAGCTGGCTCCTTGAGATGTCCACTCTGTTGAATATAGTGTATTCTTCATTGCAGAGTATATGATAAGCTTTAGAACAGGCCTCTAACACATCCGTGTCTGTATGTTTTTCCACAATATTTTTCAACTGCCTCAATAACGAATCCAAGTGCTAAAATTGAAGAAAAGGGTAGATTCAAAATGGTTACAGATGAAGAAACACATACACTTACTTACTTGTATATCTTTTGACTTGTGTGCATTAGGAAAAAAACTCAATTAAATCACAGTGCAAGACTATAGAAGGGAAGATCAATTGTTTAAAGTTTGAAAATTTGCCTAAATACAGTCGCCACACTTTGCAGTAAATCCTGAGGAAGCTCTTTGAGATGTTCCAACAAAGTGATAAGGTCCTAAATTAAATGCAAGGATTATGATAATAAAACGAGTCTGGAGCAGGATTTTAACAGCACCAAAAGCAGCACTGCTGACACCAACACTTTTGGCTCTTCGCAGAAGAGTCATGGAATGCTATTTCTAAAGGAATGTATTTTATGTAATTTCGAAAAGCAGTGAGGGTTTTTGGCGGTTATGCAGGTTAACATCCCTAACCCAAATATAATTATTCTTTATTGAGCAATGTACCAATAGAGTCACAAAATTTAATGCAAATTATTTGAGTAAATGGCACGGCACGAATGGAAGTATGCATCAACAAAGTTCATTATTAAGCGTACTTGCATTTTCCAGGCACACTCCAACCTAAAACTGGCCTCTTATAAAAAGTAGTGGAACCCATATTTCAAGAGAACCACACAAGCTTATGAAAAGGTTATCCATTGTCTTACCTTTTCTAATCGGCCAGTTGTGTAGATTTCCAAGTCAAAAAACAGTGGTAACTGTAAAAGATTTGTCACTTTCTCGGCATCAATAGAATACTGTCAAAAANGTGGAAAAAATAGGCCATATATCAGCAACCATATCCAGATTAATTCAAGTCACTAAACTAAGATCACTGTAAATATAAAAATAACACATCATGTATAAAGGACTGAAAACAGAAAATCCACCAAAAATTTCCCTGTAGAGTATCTTCCCCAACAAACATTTCTAAGTAGGATTTATGAAGGGGTGGGGGGCGGGATGATGAGGAAGAATAGCCAAGCGCAGCACACTCCTCAGTATTTATTTCGAAAAATACAAGACAAATATTCATTAGATATAAACAAGTGGTAAAGCACATTTAAAGTCGTGTTACCTTTGTCAACAGCTGAGGAAGGACTATTGTAAAATGTTCTGTTATTCTGGTCCGGTCATCCAACTGTGATTTCTTCTCTTTTGCTGTCAACACCTGTTGAAAATAAAAAACTTTCAGAGTTGCGAATGTAGATTTTCTCGAGAGCTATAAACATACACATTTTTGTATTCTTAGGACTAAGGCATAGAAAAAGCTGTTTGTCATCAACACATAAACAAAAGTTGACACAGAAAACAAACTGCACAAACATAACAATCTTAAGCACGACTATCCCTTATGCCACAGAACAGCTGTTGGGATCATCCTCTCTTATTTGATTTCATGTGAAATGCAAGTCAAACGACTAATGGAAGCATTACTACTAAGGGGAGAATTTACCAAATACAGAACTCTAATCAGAATGGAGTCAATCAGCAGTATGTTTGCCTCTTAAGATAGTAATGATTGCACTGCATTCAACAAAGATGGATAAGAGAGACAAAACCGAAATAGTCTTAGTCAAGTACAAGAAATCCTAAACTGAAAGCTCAAAACATGTGCACGTGTCCATGATGCTGCAAAAAGAACGTTAAATCACTTAGCTAAATAATCCAATAAACATTGTTGTTATGTACTATTATAAAATGTGAATTATATTTCAAACTGCATCTCCAATAAAGCTCCGGCTGAATCATACTGTGCGCAATTGGTTGCTGCGTTTCGCCCACAAAAAAATAGTCACTACATTTTACAGTATGTGCTGTGAAGCTTTGTGAGACATCTTGAAGATGTGATAAGGCGCCTTATCAAATGCAAGAATTACGATATTATACCTTTTTGCCCGAAGCTCTGCCAACTGGAGGGTGACACTCTACAGCTTGTCGTATCGTACACACCATGATCTCAATGAGTGCACTTTCCTGTCTGTCTGTCAGGGCTGAAAGGGAAACCATGCAAAATTAGAGTCATTTTTCTTACATCACTTAAGTTATTATCAGTCATCAATTAAATGTCATTTTAATTAAGCTTCAATTGCTGTCAAGGATAAAGCTCTAGAGAGTAAGTAAAACGTTGCAGGAACTGAGCACAATGCAGTAACAATTGCACACCACTAGATATTGCAAGTGCGCTTTGCATTGTTTTCATAAATGTACATTAGCAACATCTTGTGGTAATGTACTAAGAGAGGTTCCTTGCAACGTCAACATATTTCTAACGTTGTTGAATATCAATTCAATTTGACAAAGTCAATCCAAATTAGCACCAGAAATCGATAAGACAGTCAAATGCAACACTAATTACCACCTGTTAAAACAAACGTTAAAACGTTAGATTTTCAAAAGCAATTATTCTGAGTAGTTTAATAAGTTACAACTGAATCCTTCCACTTTGAAATAGAATTGCAGATTCATAGAGAAATTGCAATTGATTAAACTTCTGAGCCTCTTAATATGATAAATGTCTTGTGAACACCAAACTATAAAGTGATTACAGATTAAGTCTTCAATTGAAAACACTAAACAAAGGGGAAAAAAACAATAGATGTATTACAGTGTACATCCTCCAGTCAGATTGTAAAAATTAGATTAGCTTTCTCCTCCAAAAATAGGGAGTACTTGGAAGACTGCACTTATCTTGACTTGCAAAGCAACATTTTATGCTGTACAAGTAAGTGAAGAACATGAAGTCTACTGAAGAGGAATTTATTTTCTGTTTAAATACAATAAAGGGTCAGTAAAAACGGCAAGACTATTATCGTGGTACATTACGTAAAAGTTAGTAGCTCCTGAAAGCAGTTTCACAAATTTCCTCATCAATACTGGCAATGGATCAAAGATAATGCAACCTCCTTCAATTAGCATCAATAATTCTTCTTCTATTTCCAATTTTCCGGCGTTGTCCAAGCAACAATTCCACGGGATGCCAAAAGCATTATTTTATTATTATTTGTTCTGGTAAGAGAGCCAACAAGTTATTTGGCCATCAGTGCAGCACATTTGTTCCCTCTCCGTTACGCTAATTGTGATGGAACTTTCAACCATGTTTCAAATTTCATAAATCTCTAAATCCCAGTCATTTACATTATCCAATCATTGCCCAACTCAAATCTTATTAGTGACCAATACCAAGTTTTTTCTGAGTAACGTCACACCACATTGTTCATCTGAAGACTGAGGTAGCAATTCTTTAGCTAATTACAATACATAGCTAGTTACAACAAAATAATAATAATGAATTGGTCATTCAATCCATGACCGTTTGTGGGACGCTGCTCTGCGCAATCGGCTGCCGCGTTTTGCCCACAAAATGTAGTCAATTCACTTTACAGTATATTCTGTGAAGCGTTCTGAGGCTTCTCGAAGACGCTATACCAAATGCAAGAATTATTATTATTATATGAAGACTTTCATGCAATGACTCAATTTTTTTAAACATCATTGGTATTATTCATATAAACCAATAATTACTTATGTAAAACTTCTGAGGTATTTGGATGTGATATTTGCTATAAAAGCACAAGATGTTTGTTCTGGCTGTCAACGCACATTTGGAGTTCATTTTTTTCTGGTAAGCTTTTTGATAGGTATTTAATAGGAATGATAGTGATGAGGCAAACAGATTGTTGTACAGATTTTACCTTCTTCCCCACTGACTGGTTCTTCCAAAAGGAGGCTGGTCATGCACTCCCAATCCTTGAGTAGATCTGTTGAACAATCCCACATGCTGTCCACCAGGTATGCAGCATGTTCATGCAGCTGCCCATGGAAATAGGGAACAAAAAAAATCAGCAGATGCCCATACAATATAAATCCTGTTTCGCGTTTTAATTTGGCAGTGTGAGAGAGAAAATTCAGATCAAAGCAATTACTGAGTTTCACTGTATTTCCTTGTTCCAAATATTAAACATACAAACATTTATGCTCCTTCCAGGACATGCTGCTCCATCCTGTACAGGGCACACGGACTTCCTATTCTAAGGTGACTTGACAATGCTGCTTTGCCATTGATTGCCCTGACATAGGTCAACATGCTCTCTGGTTTTCCCTCCCTATGCAAAACACTGCTACCTCTGCCTAGTGCTTCCAACGAGATTGCCAGAGAACCAGAATTCACAAGCTAAAAAATTCCAGAAGCGAATTTGTCCCACGTTTTTATAAAAGTTAAACATATTTCTTAATTGATTATGCAGTTTATCTTATTTTCAATTAATCATATTGTTCTGATGTGCTGAAAAAACACTCAAATGTAAGGATTATTATTTGGATAAAACAAACGAGAACTTATTTTGGAAATTAAGAGTCTAAGGCAACTTCAGAATCCAATGAGCTCAATTTGTAATCCTTTGACGTAAAGAGCGCATTGCCCGATTATTGCGCTATAATAGTGCTGAGCAGATGGTGTACAGTAGAGTCCCTTCAAACTCCTGTCTAATCTATGAACCCAAGTTCTTTAGTTTTCATTCCAGAATTTGGCACAGCACTATAGTGATATACTCTCATATCCAGTCTTTCATGTGGCAGTTTTTTGGAGGAATTGTACCCTACTTTATAAACAATTACATGCCACCAGGAGATCATAATCCTTCCATCTACATTGTTTTTAACTGCGGTTTAATTTCTGTAACCTTTGCTTAGCATTTCAATCCAGAGCGCTGACTTGAATGCTGCAATATAGAACGGCATAGAAATGGAGGGCGGTTCAAGAGAGAAGGGAAAGAAGGAAATGTTCTCTCAAGTACAGTTCCATAAAGTAAGCAGCATCATCGTGCAAGTCACATTATCCACTGTGCATCAGTCTTCCTCTGAGAGCAAGTAAGTCGTCGCAATCCATCCCAACCTGCCCTTGCACATCTACTGATGAGCTCAAGAGCTGCACTCGCACTGACATGCCTTCTTCCGTCTTCTTAAATGGGAAATGGAGGATAATTTTCTTTTTGGGGGTGGGGGGGGGGCAACTAGAAATAGACTTTATGAAGAAACAAGCCTCAGAAACTACCACATCATTCATGATAGTTCCAAAGCAGTTTACCAGGATGCCTATTTTAATATGATTTTAAACCCTACAAAATGTGAACTGTGGATAAATAAACTGATTTGGTTAATCCATGATAATTAACAGCTTACCTCACTTTCCAGGAAGAAAAACACCAATGTTTTCATGAGGTTGGCATTTGGACCTTGCCTCCCTTTTCGTTTGACTGTGGGTTCATCAGATTCAGTGTCTCTGTGACTGAAAAGTCTTTTTAAAAATGGAAAAAAAATTAGCAGCAGAAAAAAAATGGAATGGATTGTCAATGCGTTGTTCCAATTTACATTCACAGCAGTGAAAGCGCCTGCCTCCTTGCCAAATCTCCATGATGGCAATAAAACGAAACAGCAAATAAATTTCAGTGATAATGCCAATGAATCTTCTACCAGAAGTTTCTGGACAACAAGCACGTGCTTAACTACTCCCAAGTACATGAACTCTGCGGCTGTAATTTTTTTAAAAAAGCAGCAACATTGCAGGAAAGCAATTAAGTAATGGTAGAAATAGAAAATAATCCTGCATCTTTACACAACTACAAATTCATCTGCTCCTTACTTTTTGTAAAGGAATTCCCCTGCTGCCACAGCAACTGGGCGATGAGCTGAGTAAACCAAATGGTAAACATTTTCACAGTCCTCTGAGGTCAGAACATCATCACTGCCCCTGAAAGACAATACGTAAAAATGTTGTGCTTAATGGGAGATTAATTGGTAGAAAAGGGGGACTTCATTTTCCCTTTGAATTGCCCCCAAAACCAGATTCGCATTAACCATGCTAGAATGAGCACTGAAATTATGCAATACTAATAATAATGGTTGGTTTTGTTGTGGAACCCTTACCACATTGTCGAGACATCTCAAAGCGCTTCACAGAAGATACTGTACGGTGAATTGACTGGATATTTGTGTGGGCAACATGTAGATGATGCTAAAGAATGGCTATCAACTTATAAAGACAAACAAAAACCTATCAAATGGTAACATTTTACCAATGAGTATGCGGAGTAGAATTCCACCTGATCTAGATTTACTTTTAACATTTACTCAGTTAACATAGCATTTAGGAGTGTCCATAATTTGTCAAATTCTCAAATATAGCCTTGATTTTGATGCAGGGGATCAGTAAATTCTTTTAAGAAACGTTCAATGTATCAAAAGATTTAACGCAGAGGAGTGTCAAGAAAGGTCAAAATAATCAAATTAAAATATTTTACTTACTGCAAAACAAGAGTAAGAAGTTTTATTGCTTGTACAGCGACTTCATATTCTTTATCCAGTGTCATGGAAACAATTCTGTCCTAAAAATAAAAGATTGTTTAGAACATAGGAAAAAAATACTCGATAGCTTACAGTTTGCACTTTTTTTCTCTGAAATTTTCTCCATCTCCCTCTTGAAGTGCCCGTATAAATTTCCCAGCAGGGATTTGCTGGAAACTAAATCACTGATTTTTCCTTCCTTAACCTGGGCACAGATGCCAATTACACTAACCCTTTCTTCCTAACAGTTCAATCAGCATAAACCTATGAATCAAATCTAAGTGCGTATGGCTTAGTCACTCACTGAATAAATTCTGAGTTATCAGGAGATCCTTTCACCAGTTTCAAAGAGAATAGCATATCTATCTTGAAGTTCAAATATTACCACGTGCTGCACTATGTTAGATAGAATAGATTAAAAGTGGTCATCTACTGATAACACATATGAACCAGCCATTTACCATTATATCTAACATGAGAGGCCCGTTATTGGTCTTCATATGATCATTAAGATAACTACACTACATTTCTGGTATAATGTTTCACTGCACTTCTACGCGGTAGAACTCGGAAACTTGTAGCAGCTGAAATTACAGAGCTAAGTTACAATGATGAACTAACCTTGAAGCGGCTTGTGAAAAGTTCCAGTTTGGGAATCAGCTCCCGGTTGTGATAGAGGCCTTGCAGGGCAGTCAAACATTTTAGCCTCACTTCCCCTTGCTTTGAGAGAAAGGAAACAGTAAGCCTTTTCCAAAGTGAAGAAAAGTTCTAACGAATAAAACACCACTATTCCCCTTTTACAACTTTGTTGCTCGGGTCCTGACCCCTGACTGTCCAGCGCCTTGGGACGTCCTCCCGACGTGAAAGGCATTCTATCAATGTGATTTTGTTGTTGTTTCCGCATATCCGCCACAAGATAGATGTGGGGATTGCTGACTTCCATCAACATTACCCCAAGATCTGCTGATTAAGGAGCGAAATTCAAATTGCAGCTGAAATTCCTTGCTCAGAATGCAATATTTGATTAATGCACCACCCCCAGTTTGCGCAACAGGTAGTGTAGAATACTGTTGCGTAGGACTTGTATTTATGATTTGTCGTTTTAAATATTACTGTCAGAGCAAGCTCTTATATGTGCCACTTGTCTGTGCATCTGAGAAACAAAAACAAGGTTTAATTACCTTATCGTGCATGGTCCATCCCACATACTTCAAATAGCTGTCATTTAAGAAGGCATCACTATACATTTTCATCCACACTCCTATCTCCTCAATACAGACTGCTCTTATCTCAGATATTGCGTCACTGGATGAAAAAAAATTGCAATGATTATAAAATACATACAAAATAAACAGCGAGAGACGAATGCTGCAGGTTAAGTCATTTAATAAGGTGAAAAGCAAGAAATTCTCACCGATATCTGTGCACAAAAACACCCTTAAAAATGGCATTCATCATATTTTCTATTTCATCCTGATTTTCTTGAAGCTGTTGTGGGAGAGAGAAATAAAAATGGCAAACATTTTCAATTAATTCAAGCTAATTTGTACAAATGGTAAATGACAAAGATCATCACACTTCAACATATTGACACTGAATTCCACCTAGGATCAAAAAAGAAATAAATCTAAAGCTCATCACCCACCCAAGGACACTGAACATTCATTTGCATCTTACAGAATAACGTTCCTCCAAAAAATCAATAAAAAAAGCTCACAAACACACCAGAACACACAGTGAAATTGAATGATGCACAATGTTTTACTATAATGACACAACTATGGTTCAGTGTTGAAATATTATAGGTCGGGAACCAGACATCAATAATTCAGGAGATCACACTTAAAATTACCCATTCGCATATCTGTTCAGATCTAAGCTTGCTTGGCAAACTAAACTGCAACCCAAAATGAAGTAAAACACTGCTCTGGGCTTCAACGTTAAAGAACCGCAATCTGAACATAATATTAACACCATGTGACCGTAATAGGAACGGGAGACGTGGCTTATTAATTCAGTAATACTTGCGAATGCAAGATCTGTACCAACCTCATAAGCAAATCAACCTCCCGATTGACCAAAAGTGGCAACTATAGATTTAACCACAGTATAGTCTCACTTAAATTAGGAAGACAAATTGGTTCTTGCATAAATAGTGAACTGTCATGAATCCCAAGAGACCAATCAGTAGAAGTAGAAAAATCGCGAACAGGATGCAACTCTAATGAGGTTCTATGAAGTTAAAGAATAGAGAATCTGCTAACTTAATAAATAAATCTACATAAATCAAGCTGTAAGAGAACAGACCTCAAGAGTTTCAATTTTACCTTGCTGTAAAGCACATTCTCTAATTGAATCACCACAACAAGATGGTAATGTAATGATGGTTCAATCGCAGCTGAGATTGACATATTTATGGCCACAGCTGCAGCAGTTTTTCAAGAGTCACTTTCAGGCTAAGCTGCACATTATTACAAACAAATCTTTGTGTTTGTTGAACCTCAATAGTTTGCATGTGTTGCTGCAGTCTTGAGGGTTTATCACTTCAAAAATTTGATCAGTAGATTTGACGTTTTTGATTAATGTCAACTATTTTGGCGGTTCAACAGCAAAAAGGGCAATCGCTGTGCGAGGTTTGGACTCAAAAAGGACCACGGATTGTGTGATAACTTGGATGCTCATGACTAGGGATTAAATCTTAAAGTAATTGGTACAGGTACAAGGTATCGTACTGCAACTCTGATACCATTTTCTTAGTGCAAATTGTGCTGCTCTCACACCTCGCAGAAATCATATAAAAAGGAGCAGAGATTTTGAGAGCAGTGTGCCCACCCATCTTCTCCCCTAGGAAACACTTTATTGTTTAGCTGAAGAAAAAAATGGGTATTTGCATTGCAAGTTGGAGCTACACAAAATTTGGGGCAATTTGCAGCCAACTCATACCACACTTCAGCTTAATAAAACTCTTGGTATTTAAACAATGAACACAATTATCAAACTGAAAAAAGAACACAGCACAAGATTCTACTCTAAAGAAAAACTGATCAGAAAACTGCCTCTTATGGGAATTCAGTCAATGGTTTTGTTTGATGCAAAAAGAAAAGTTCTATGCGTCTTCCATCACTCACCTCCTTTCTCTTCTGCAGCAGAAGCTCCAACCGGTCATTAGCTCGTTTGCCAATCATTTTATTTCTTTCAGTTTCGTACTGCCGCTGGGTGTTGTCCATATTAATACTTAAATTTAATGCCACATTTACTAGCGCCGTCATTAGTTTCATAGCTGTGGAGAAAATATTTATGAGTTGGCACAATTGTACAACTTCCACAAGAACTGAGCAATTCACTTCACCCTGGAGGGCGTCACAGCAACCACTCATTCAGAATATCACACCGTATCAAGAGGCAAAGACTACTTGGTACCAAAACACAATATGCCCTACACTGATCATCAATCTGAAAATTGTTTGTTACACTTGCGTTTTTCCAAATTTGGACTCCAGTTAAGTTGGACTTCACACATCACTCATCTGCTGGGAGATCCAAGCTCTTACCATACATAACATACTAGCCCCCGCTATACAGGAGTCCTGTAGCTCAGTGGTTAGAGCACTCGCTTTGCAAGCGAGAGACCTGAGTTCAATTCCAGGCAGAGGGCGAAACCTTGGGCAAGTTTCCTTACTCCACACAGAGCCTAATAATAATCCCTCCAAAACCAAAAATAATAATAAATTGGTCATTTTCAATCTACGACTGTCTGTGGGACATTGCTGTGCGCAATTGGCTGCCGCGTTCACCCACAAATATACAGTCAATTCACTTTACAGTGTGTTCTGTGAAGCGCTTTGGGACGTCCTCCCGACGTGAAAAGCGCTATATCAAATGCAAGGATTATTATTATTATTGGCTTACACGTTGAAGTTTGCAACTGTGAAACTCTTCTCAAAAGCTAAATGATATGATTACATCAGGTGGCTGTTGTGGTTGGGCAAAGCAGGGATTTGTTTTGAACAGATACAACGTGCAGGTTTGAGCCGAATGCTATTGCATCAGGATTCGCACAAGTATTCTCAAGATTTTTCAGAAAATTCCTGGCTGTTACTTCATATACTCAACATGCAAATTATGTGTCTAAAGATGAAATCTAACATAAGAGACAGACTAAATATGTTAAGTTGTTTTTTTAAAAAAAATTCAGAGAAAGAGCAAAAACCCCAAACATGCTTTTTAAAGACACATTTTACTCTGAAGCAACTTACCCGCCAGTGTGCTGGTGTGTCTAAATGCTCTGACCTGAGAGTCGGACAACCCAGTCAGCAGGGAAATAACAGTGTCCATCATGTATTCATCATATATGATACTGTACTGACACTGCCGTACAAGTACAGAGATAAATTCACAGAAACTCGACTTGAACTTTTTCCACTGAGGACCAGGCATCGTAAGAGGATAATCACCACTGTCCTAAAGTAGGCAAGAAAAACACCCACTCTAATTAGCGATCGAAACATCACTCCGAGAGGCAATCAATCAATCATTTCAATGCCTCAATCAAGCAATCCGAGAGCTACGAACTACCTAGGGCGCTTGCTGAGGGAAATTACACTGTTGTGCAAAATTGGTTTCTGGGGTATTTCTGGCACTGGTAATGTCTGCAAGCAAAACAAACAATCTTCCCTAAGTACTTTCACAACAAAATTAAGTTAAATCTAATCACTTTTATATGGTCTGCAATTTGACAATTTTATATTTATCAGCCACTTCTTGTGAGAAACGCTCAGTAATGGCAAGCAGTATATTATTGCTCAGCTATCATACTACACGTTTGGTGGGAGTACAGCAATATGGGAGAGAAACCGCACAGCAGCTTAAAATAACTATTTGCACTGCCCGAGGAAGAACTTAAACCTCAACTGCAGAATTAATTTACTGCACGTGTGTCTGAGATTTGGCAAGTACTCGGGGATTTTGCATTCCTTTTCTTTTAACCTGCAAAGTCTGCCAATCGAGATGCCAAACCTTGTTAGGCATTCCAGCAACTGAGAAGCAGAGCCATTTGAGTATTTCATTAAGATTCCAACATTCAGAGCACCGCGTTAAGTAGAACATCATTCCTTTACTGCTTCATTAATTACCCTCAAGAACTCAATGATGATGTGCAAATGTTTAAAATTATGAATGCAATTAATTGGATGTTGCTGAAGTGCTGGAACTTCCCCAGGTTTATCTGGGTTTTAGGACTTTGAAGTCTAGCAGATAACATTAAAATCATAATGAGACAAGCACTGATTAGATAAAAGTTCTCAATGAAATAAATCCAGAAAAACAAATTCTCTGTAGCCGTTACCTCATCAAATTCTTCTGTCATCTTTCGGATGATCTCAGAATTCTGCATGTGCCGGAACATCTCAGCAGTAACAATGCCTGGAATAAACATGCATGTCATTTAGACCAAGCAAACTAGTACGTAAAGAACACCTCCACAGAAGTAAAAGTACGGAATGAGTCAAAAATGTAAACGCAACTTGGAAGCGTCTAAATCGTTTCAAATTGATAAACGTGAGAAAAAGATACATTTTCTACATTATTTTTAAAAGAATAATATGTAACCTAGCACTTTGGGATTAAAAAGAGCAGGGTGATGCCCCACAGTCAAGCAGCCATGCTATACAGATTTGGAAGGTTCCAGATTTAATCCGTTCTAAATTGTCTGATCTCAAACCTGGTAATCCTGATTCTTCTATTTTCTTTGTCAAGTATCGTTCATCCCTTTCTCAATTCATTTCAGCACTTATCTCAACTTTTCCACATTCAAATAAATTTTACGCATTATGAAATCAGTTTTTGATTTGGCGAATCCATTATGATAAATGGGAATAAAAGATCAATTTTGCAATATGCCAAAATGAAAACTGCAGGAAAGGCCAAGGGGTATAATACTGTCACTCTACTCAGTCTATTAAATTTGAAGAATTCATCTTTTTAAAAAAAAAAAGAAATACATAAACTCACCTTTACAGCCTGAACATTGGATGAAAAAGTTGATGAGATCAAGGAGTGCCACATCTCGGTCATGCTTGTAGGATTCTATCCAGTCATCTACAACAGACTAAAGAAAGAAAACAGCGGCATGACATGAAAACTGTACCTAATTTATCTCAAATAAACAACAGAATTTCGATCTACCTTTAGGGTCAGCATCAACATTTGCTCTGTGCACAATCGGCGGCTGTGTTTGGCCCACAAAATCTAGTCAATTCATTTACAGTATACTCTGTATATTCTGCGCTTTGAGAGGGCTCGAAGACGTGAATAAGGCGCTATATCAAACGCAAGGATTATTATTATTGAACTCGGATCCAATTTCACAACTGCAAACAGCATCTATTTTTTTCCAGATGGTACAAGGCACGCGCTTGGATCATAAAGATTATACTCGCAATTCCCCAACCACAGCCAGTTTGGAAGTGACGGTTCACCAAGAACATTTTCTGCTCAGCTCTCAAGTGCAAATCTCACTTACAACCTCATTTGCAAAAAAAATGTAAACCAGGAATCTTGTTAAATCTGGACCAAAATTTTGCTTTGCACAGAACGCAATGGAATTATGAGTGACTAATTGTGTTACGGACTACTATAATTCCACTTTCATAAGAAAAAAAATTGCCTGTAGCATTATAAGTACTCTACCAAATGCATTCTCTGGGCTACCTATTGCTTGTTCTTTAGAATTCACAATTTTAGGTTCATAACAATTGCGCTGCAGCAAGTATGCATTCAGATAAAATAGATTCTCTCCTGCAGCGCTTTGTTGTTAAAAGTGAATGTGTAAAGAGTCAGGAAAATCACAACTCATTTCTTCTATAAGCTACTTAGTTTTAGCTCAGTTTGTTCGCAGCAGTGCTTTGAAGTAAGCTCAGCCAAACCAATAATAATAATAATTCCTCATTAAATAAAATGCAAACTGCTGCGGATGCTGGAAATCTGAAATAAATACAGAAGTCGCTGGGAACACTCAGCATGTCAGGCAGCATCTATGGAGAGAGGAAAGTGAGTTAACTTTTCAGGTCGATGACTTTTCATCAGAACTGTTTCAGGTCGATGACCTTTCGTCAGTTCTGGACAAAAATCACGTTCCTCTCTCCATAGATACTGCCTGACCTGCTGAGTGGTCCCAGCAACTTTTGTTTTATTTAAGGTTCCTCATGAATCAATTATTTGCCAACCCAAAATTGTTATTGCAGCTAATAAAAAAATTCTGTAGGTAAAGCTAAATCATCAAGTCGTCAATGCGGCGTTGGCAAACTGATGAGACAACGTGACCACCACTAAATAGAAATTAACTGAAAACAGTTACTCAAAATGTATAGTTGCTGCATCTGTGTTTGTGTTATATTCAGAAGGTGTCAAATGAAACTGGCATATACGTTGCTGTCTTTTTCCAGCTCTGGATTTCTCATTTCCTTTGGCAAAAATGGTGGTTTTTAATATCCAAAACAATAAGATGTTACCAACATGTCGGGAGATCTCAATCACTGGATGCTTTCAAAAGACAGGAGTCCCTTCTCATTATTGTCAAAACAAGTAAATCTTTTTTTCCCTAAATCTGTCAAATTTACCTGCATAGCACTCTTGCCCAATTTCACAACTTCAAAAAGCATCATGTTTTCCACTCCACCATTCTGTTGGTGATGTCCGTTCATCCGGTTCATGCCTGTTGCAGATTTTGCACCATTTCCACTTTTTCCTCTCTCTCCTGGGTCTTGATTTTGCTCTTTTATCTGAAATTGACAAAGATTTATTTTTCCACTGAACTCAATGTACGACAGCATCATTTGTGATGGATTTTTAAAACCAACAAGTTCATAATTGCACTGAAACAGAAATCTTCAAATAGGCTAGGACATGTAAATTACAGATATAGCACGTTTGAAAAGCTGAAGGATTATAAAAAGGTAAAGAATTCTGAATAAATATATTTTTTAAAATAACTTCTTGTAATCAGTTATTTAAATTGGCAGCATTGATCAGAAAAGTCAATACACTCATATTTTCTCCATCTAATAAAATGGAAATCGCGGGAAAGAAAGTCTACACATTAAACTGACATTGAATGTTGGAAGGACAGTGCTTTTACCTTAACTTGCCTATGGGAGGGGGAATGGCTTCAAAATCTTCCAACTTCAGCAGTGCGTTTCAAGCCCCTTGTAAAGAGAATTATGAAGTGAATATTAAAGCTAAATATTCTTGAAGGTTTACATTTGGCAACCATAAAACTGGGACATTATCAGCAAAATACATAAATTGTTGAATTCTCATGACTGTTAATCAAAGGAACAATAAAATATTGTGTATGTATAAAAGATATTTCAAGGATTATCATTACATGGTATGTAAAAAAATTAATTTCAGCAAAATAATGTATAACAGTTTGTGCATTTAGTTAATACTTATTTAGTTTAAAGAGACAGATAAAAGTACATACTGCAGTTTGAAGAGAAAGGTCAAATTAGTCTAAGTGTTACTGCATTTAAATACATAAAAGCTTTTTTTAAAAAAACGGGATTGCAAACCCAATCCTTCCTACTTCTAATGTACTTCCAATAAGAAGTACTTAACTATGATCAGGACCCATGATGGATTTTATCCCCTTCTTCCTTGTCTGAGGAAATTGAGGACGACTATTGTCTCCTCATTACTAACCCATATGAGATCACAATGCAGCACATGACTGTAATTCATGCTGCATTTTCCTGGTAAGCAAATCTCAGTTATTAGGATATTGCTACGGAACCAGCTCAATGCATTGTCAATGACAATGTCCACTGGACAACTAACTAATTGCTGTAGTAACATGTCCTCAGAAATGGTTTCACACAAATCTGTGAGTATGCAGGCAAGTACTACCTGATCAATAATGTAATCCAATTAACATCCAATGAAATATTTCCTAGCCCCACATAGTTTTGAAGCACACTGAGTCCCAATCTTTGTCCAAACAACATACATACAGAATAGAGTAAATGACTATATAAATGTTATGGTCCTGACTGATCAGACTTATATGCGTTTTACTATATATCAAAATCACAAAATCAAGATTTTATGTATTCGTGTCCCCATTTCACGCAGTTATTTTTGATATTACGAGCACCAACACTTCTACTGCAAAAGAAGCTTTTATGATCAGAAATCAAACATTCTAATTGTCTTACTGTAGTGTAAAGATGAGGAACAATGACTAAGATGTTCAACACTGGGACTATCTGACATGCCCCCCAAAAAACGTCTCAGTTGGTAATGGCACTGTACTGTGTGAAACTGAGGCACGCAAAGCAGGGAGGAGCTCAACTCAATTCAATGTCTATAACTAGTGTCACTGGCCCTTGATTTGAGAAATGGGTGTTTAAAATCCGTCAGGGTCTGTGTCTCCCATTGTTACCCAGTGATCCACGTTGAAAAGTCATGTGCATTCACACTGCATGAGAGTAGACTTTGGTCAGATTGCAATCTCCTCTCTCCTCACGCTTCACAATTTGCCACCAACTTGCATGAAGTGCAAATACACGCACGAAGAAGCATTTTGACAAGATACCATCTGGATACCCAGCCACATTTCAGAATAGGTCAGTGCTTTAGAGAGAGGAGACAAAATCTTGAGGACCATTGGTTTTAATTTAAAACAGTCTTTCTGGTTTATCAGACCTCACTTGACATTTCCCAGCACCAGTAGTTCTATTCAAGAACAGCTAAGCGTGGAACCAGGATAAATGAACTTTCAAGAAATCCCACTCCATACAACCAGAGCTGGTATTGCACAGCATCATGAATGCGGCAATAGAATTAGACACGAGAAAGTGAGTTTTTGCAACATACCAACCAATTCATTTGCAGCCTTGCTAGTTATAGAGTTCAGGCGGCAGCAGATGGAGCTGCTTTACAATAAGTCACCATTTCACTATGTGCGGGTTTTATCAAGATTGTCATAAAATCACCAGAGCCAAACATTTATAACATCGTATAAAGCAATTGAATAAAACTATCTTAATTGTGCAACAAAGTACAAGATAAACAAAAAGTAGACTGTGCAATATTGAGCATTTTACACTTGTAACGAAGCACAGATTAAGATGTAGCCTGGGCAGAAAGCAACTAATTTTAAGCGGGATTTTGTTAAGAGCTGGGAGGACGGTCAACAAACCACTACTGTGTTTTTTGTTGTGAGACTGATCCTGCATTGTTATTCTGCTAGTCAGCACTTCAACCAACAGCAAACCATAATTTATACATGGTGTGAATGTTTACATCAGATGACCCGGTCTTCATTTTGTTATCCTCGTCATTGTCAAAGACAATAGGAAACCTGTTGACAGCTACAGCCACAATTACCTCAGTTAAGCAGAGACCACCCTCTCCCCCACCCCCAAACATAACAGTCTCAGCAATTCCATCGACGTAATCTAGTTCATAATAGTCAGCAGCTCTACAAGGCACCACCATCCTTCAACAAAAATACTGCACATACAAAAGTTTAAAAAAAATTGAAAAAAGCACACAAAATTCTCCATGAATGGAAATTATACATGTCCACATTGCACAAGAATTGAAGAGAAAACAGTACATTATTTCAGCTTTTCTTCAAAATGTTCCCATTAACTAAAACTACCCATGAGCATCGTTTTTGTTTAATTTGAGCAACTACACATTGCAGTTTCCTCGGTGGCCATTGGAGGTGGCAACTTCCACACAAACATCAGCCGAACAGACGTGAAGACAAATACACAAGTGGACAATTCAAATAGCACCACAACTGATGCTTCACATCAAACAATCTCTTGTTTTAAAAAAAAAGGAAAATTTACACAAGAAAACAGTTCACCCTTTTGAGTACAAACATTAATCAACCAGGAATAGCTCCAAAAAAACACTACCCTGATGAGGAAACATTTTCTAACTGAGTGGATATAATCCGGGTACAAAATGTAGGTGCAAATTCTTAATTTAACCTGAACAGCAATGTTGCAGTCCAGACAATATTAACCCCTACATGGCCTGTGCAATTTTCGGAAACGAACATTTAAATTTGTCAAGTCAAGAGTATTCTACAAGAAATATTCTCGGCCAATTATAGTGCCCCCTCTGCTGCCCTGGGTGAGTTAGATCAGCTTTACTCAGTACTTACTCAGTACAGAGTAGAATTCAAACCTCTTTAGCATTCAACGATGCCATCGGGGAAGCCAACTTTTCTCAACAAATAGCTAATCAGCTCATTCTGAAGCTTTCCCAGATCCAATCTAATTGTTCTGGATTAGTAGCTGTGCTTTCCCTGGATTTCTTCTTCCATTACTTACGCTTATAGATCTAATCTTACATATTCAAGGAACCACTTGTTTCAGGTTATTACGAGAAGCACATGGGCAATGTATGTAATTCCCTTGTAGATGAAAATGTTAATTTCAAACTAGGCTTATAATTATTTTTGCTCTCTTAGCGTCCTACGCAGTTAGTCCATCCTGCTGTTTGAAACACTTAAGCAGGAACAAAAAGCTCTTATGTTGTCATTTGAAGTATTTAAGTGCAAGGTATTCATTGCTTTCAAAGAACTGAACGCATCTATACGATATTTTTACATATTCCATACATAAAACAAATAGAAACTGGATAAACACACTGCCTTTGGAGCAAAGTTCAAATTCAGCCAAGATTGATACAGAAAGTTGACAGCTGGTGGCTATCTATTATGTAGGGCGAGTTCTAAATTTCTAACTTCTAGGTGGTACACGTCCACTGAACAAAAATATCCGTATTTGTACAAGTGTGATATTTCAGATTTGGCAGTCAAAAGTTTTCAATGTGGGCATTTAGTCCAGACATCAATCACTCCCAAATATTCAGATGCAAATAAAGATAGGTTTACTGTTCTGAATTGCTTCCTTTCCCACATTAGCTAACTTTGTTTCCTGATTGGGACTGTTGAGTGTAAACCTAATGAAAATGTCAAGCACCATCTTTGAATGAAGTGAACAAGTGTAAAAACAGTGTGCTTGTATTATCATGCATTATCTGGTCTTTGTCAGTAAATGAATTGAATTCAACTTCATTTATTTCAACATGGCAGTACCCATTGTTAAACTACAGGGAAACCGTGTTATAGCACGGTTGGCTGGGTCTAATGTCTCCAACAACTTGTCTTAAGCTTGCCGCTGGCTGAAGAGTTTATCGTAATGCAAAAGATGGTATTTTGCAAACCAGATAGAAATCAGTGTAGGTACTTGCAATTTTACCATAGATTGATACCTACTTGAAAATGACTCGAGACTGCTTAAACCCATTTCCCATGGGATCATTCCAGCTGGCAGAGGCCAGGGTTTGATTGGTCCCAAGAGTTTAGAGGTGAAAGGGCAACATGATAATTAAGTGCACTTCAGTTGTCCCCCAGGGGTATGGCTATTTGATGCTTGCAGTGTGTTCAGTGCCTGGACTTGCAAAAATACATTTCAATATTTAAAGCCATTGGAACCAGTACTTGGAACATGCCAATCATTGGTAGAAGAGAAAAAAAAAATCACCATAAACGAAAGATGAAACTCAACGTTTCCAAATTACACCCAACTTACCCTGCTCTCAGTGAGAGTTTGGGATCAGTGAAAACACGAACAGTTTTTCCTCATCTTTATCGGTCACTCGGACATGGATTCTTCCCATTCAGCTCCCGTAAATTCTGCAAGCCTGACCACTTAGGTCCTCGCTGGACAGCAGCATGAGTTCAGTACTCTCACTGGCAAGTTATGTGGTTTCAGCTGGTTAAACAGCTGCAGTATTGCAATACACACTCTGGGGCCTCCAAGCCTCGACTCTCTTGCCAACCTGCAACTAATACTCTTCCAAAGTCACTAAGCAGGGTGCATCATTCCAGGGAGCGAGTGCATAATTCATTTCAGACAGAAAAATTTCCAAGTGTAGATTCCAGATTGAAACAATGAAATATTTGCAAACAAATGCTATTTTTGAAGCATTTGAATCGTGACATGAAACAAATGAATTCCTTCCTGTCTTAGAATGGCACCTAACACAGGAACATTATCTAAAGTAGGTCAAGTCAAATATATGCAACAAGCACATTCACAAGCCCAAATAAACTGTCAGAACTCTAGGAGATATAGTTGTTGATGTATTCCAGAATCTGACTTGTTAAATTTCCGAG